TTTTCTTAAGAAGCACCTTTTTTTCTTAAGAAAATAAGAACCTATTTAAGAACCTAAATAGCCTAATATCCCAGTAAACCCAAATTATATCAGAACCTTTTTAGGCTAACTTGGAAAAATGCAGGTTCTTATACGTGGGTTTTTACTGTGTATGCCAGCATGACTAGTGCCAAACAGAAAGATTAGCTGTTGTGGAGCGAATGAACTACACGGGTAGAGCTAAAGCTGGGTTTACACTATCAACTTTCTGTTGTAGTAACCGACTGAAAAGTCCTATGGTGAGAGAGCCTATATATATAGGCCCTATTATCGAATAATAAATTATAATAAATTATCGAAATAAATAAATCAAAAAATCAAAATCTATATATGCCCTATGTGATTCGCACGCGTGATAGGTAGCGAGGTGAGGCGTGCGGGAGAGAGACGTCAAGGTCAAACGGGTGAAGTTATTGTCTGGAGATAGACGCGCGTGTGGAGTTATTGGCTGACGTGACGTGGAAAGAATCTGATTGTGCCTGATATAGACGTGGGAAGTTACTGTTTGAGATAGACTGGTTAAGTTTGATCTGAGAAAGAGACGGGCGGCCGGAGAAGTGGCCAAAGTTGAAGAAGAAGAAGAAGAAGAAGAAGAAGAAGAAGCCGAAGAAGAAGAAGAAGAAGAAAAAAAAAATAAGGAGAGAAGCGGAAGAAGAGGAAGATCGAAGAAGAAGCCGAAGAAGAAGAAGAAAAAAGAATAAGGAGAGGAGCGGAAGAAGAAGCCGAAGAAGAAGAGAAGAGGAGGAAGGAGAAGAAACCGAAGATGAAGAAGCCGAAGAGAAGAAGAGAGCCTTATCTACGTGTTGGATTTCTAAAGTAAAGACGGAAGAGCTGACATGTAATATAATTATATAATCTGAACAAAGGATGGCGCCACCTATTGGGCGCATAATGGCTCATGTTACAATAATATCTAACATTTATATTGCTGTAACGTTAATCAATGTATAGTTTTTCTTAATAGTAATTGATGGTTGTGCGGTCGCCAACGCTTACCTGTTACATGGTTTATTAAACTTTCAAGTTATAAAACATTTCTGTCTACAGCATATGCGTGCGTCTACTTGCTAGCTCTAGCACCAACTCGTGACATATAACATAATAGGTCTATAGATATATACATGGTTCTAGGACATTTACCCCCCGGACTATTACCCCCCGGACATTTACCCCCCGGACAATCACCCCCCGACATCATTTACTCATTTGTTGTTTATTCATGTTGAAACAGGATACAGCCTATAGAGGAGGTCGAAAGAGAAGAAAGAAGGTGATTGGCGGAGGGAGACGTGAGAGGAAGGAGAGACGAAGTGAGAGGCAAGGAGGGAGAGGAGGAGGAGGAGGAGAGAGGAGAGGAGAGAAGGGAGAGGTGGTGGAGGAGGTTGAGAGAAAGGTGTCGAGGCGGAATGAGGGAGAAGTGAGAGGAGAAAGGTGGAGGAGGAAAGGCGAGGAAGGATAAGGAGTGGAAGAGGAAAGCAAGAAGTGTGGAGGAGGAGTAGGAGGAGATAGAGGAGGAAGAGGGAGAAAATGTGTAAAGGAGGAGGAGGGAAAAAGGTGGAGTAGGAAAGGAGGAGAGAGCGAAAAGGAGAGCATTTTAGAGGAGGGGGAGTAGGGAAACGTGCAAGAAGGTGCGTTGAAAGAGGAGGAGAAAAATGGAGAGGAGGAGGAGAGGAGGGAGAAGGGGGACGGAAGGGGAGGGAGAGTCATCTCCGCAACACACAG